GGTCCCCACCCGCTCCTCTCAGTGACACTGTCACAGGGTCCCCACCCGCTCCTCTCAGTGACACTGTCACAGAGTCCCCACCCGCTCCTCTCAGTGACACTGTCACAGAGTCCCCACCCGCTCCTCTCAGTGACACTGACTGTCACAGGGTCCCTACCCGCTCTCCTCAGTGACACTGTCACATGGTCCCCACCCACTCCTCTCAGTGACACTTACTGCCCGTCATAAAGTCCTCACCTACTCCTTTTTAAGAACTTTAATTTGTTCAAACGTGATATTGTTTTCACAAACCATGCGGACTCTGCAGATTACCTTGAACTTATCCTAGTGCCTAGCTTTAGTTTTTAATAATGCGTCTGCATTCTCAGCCTTGGCTGCAGAGAACAGTGTTAATCCCTCTCACTGTACTCTTGCCTACTACCAGTATATTGATGAGGGTAGTGCAGCTGATGTAGTTTACATGGACTTCAGGAAGGCCTTTGACAAGGTCCGGGATGGAAGGCTGGTCTAGTAGGTAAGAGCTGATGGGATTGTAGGCAAGTTAGCAAACTGGATCCTAATTAACTCATAAGCAGGTGGTAAAGAGTGATGGTGGAGGGTTGTTTTGTAACTAGAATCCTGTGACCAATAGTGTACCACAGGGTTTGGTGCGGGGAACCTTACTGTTTGTTATGTACATTAACAACTTAGATTTGAATGCAGAAGATATAGTTAGTAAGCTTGCATATGACATGGAAATTGGTGATGTTGTTAATACTGTGGGGGATGGTGTCAGGTTACAGTTTGATATTGATCAGGTGAGAAATTGGGCAGAGAAATGGCAGATAGAGTTTAATCCCAATATGTGCAAGGTGATGCATTTTCGGAGGTCTGATAGGGAAGGGAAGGGGAGGACACACACAAAGAATGGTGGGTCCCTAGTGAGTACTGAGGAACAAAGGGAACTTGGTGAACAAGTCCATAGATCCCCGAAGGTGTCAGCACAAGTAGACAGGGTGGTGAAGAAGGCATACAGGATGCTTGCCTTCATTAGGTGTAGAATAAAGCAGCAAGAAAGTCTTGTTACAACTTCATAAAACATCGGATAAGCCGTAGGTGGAATACTGTGTGCAGTTCTGGTCTCCATACAATTGGAAGAACTTGATTGCATTGGTGAGGATGCAGAGAATATTCACCAGGATGTTGTCTGGTATGGAAAGTCTTAGTTATGGATAGGATGGGTTTGTTTTCCTTGGAGCAGAGGAGGCTGAGAGGGAATCTGATTGAGGGATAGGAAATTATGAGAGGCAGAGACAGGGTAGATTGTGAGAATCTCTTTCCCATGGCATACATGTTTAAGGCTTCGGAGCAAGTGATTTAGAGGAGATATGAGAAGGAATTTTTTTTCTCCCAGGCGGTAGCAATATATGGAATGTGCTGCCTGAGAGGGTAGTGGACGTAGATACTTTCACAACATTTAAAAGACGTCTGGATGAGCACTTAAAGTGCGGCTAAATGGGATTAGTGTAGTTTGGTGTTTGTTGGTTGGTATAGACATGTTGGGCCGAAAGGCCTTATTCTGTGCTGTATGACTGTATAACCTCTATATTCCTTTGTAGTTCCATCTCTTGAATAGCTTCCATGGTCAGTTAACTCATCCAGACAAGCTGAATGAACCTCATGTATGCTGGGCAATTGCAAAGGTTGAGGCTCCTGCCCTCTCTCCCGTTACCTGACTCATTCTGTCACCTGTATCTGAGCATTGACCAAATCAGACCCTCTAAGAAGTCTGAGTGCCACGTAGTACAAAGAATCAAGGTAACGTTCCCCCAACCCTGATGTGTCACATTGACTTTGGTTCAGCGTCCAGATCATAAACTCTGATCCCAAACTGTTTCAACTTTACATTTGCTGTAGGAGTGTTTACTCCAGAACAAACTGGCATCCAGGAACTCCCACAAGCTGCAGTTGGACATATCACTTGTCCTGCTATCCTTAACGTGTTCAAATTAATACTTCCATATATATTTAGTTCTTTTTTTAAAAAATATTTTATTAACCTTACTACCAGTTGCTACACTATGTTGAAACATAGAAATAGAATAAACTTTAATCACTTACTGATCGGATACTGAAAAATAACCAACTTTTTCTCCTGTAGTAGAGGAACAATCAATACTCAGAGGCTGAAAATATTTAAAAAAATAAAAACAATAGTGCACCTCTTTTCCTTTCTCTCTTTTCTCCCTTAATCGGCAAAATCCGGCATTCTGTTGTAAGTCACTCCAAAGTCATAGAGTGTGCATAACATAGAAAAAGGCCCTTCAGCCCATCAAGTCTGGGCCAGTAAAGTTGGATAGTTTTATTTGCTCTAATGCAGAAGGTCTAGCTGACACACTGAATGAGGAACTGTTTTGAGCTCCTTAAATAAACCCAGCTTCTCTTCCATTGGAGGTCTCAATAAAAGCCCGGCTTAAGACTGGCAACTCCAGACTTTAGATTTTTTTTTAATTGCCAACTCAAATAAAATTAGATTTGTACAAAATAAATTTTTTTCTTTTTTCTTTTCTTTCCACCAACTGCAAGCACTCAGTCCTAAGTCAAAATTATGTCAATCTTACAGATATCTTCTGTGTTTATTTTTGATTGGAAGTGAAAGTAAAAGTAAAATTTATTAAATGTTGTATATTTGATCAGGAATTCGCCACTTTACCCTATTGAAGTTGGTGGGATCAGGTGAAGATGTTTCAGGATCTATGGAAGTGTTTCCATTGAATGGTAAGAGCATTTGTTCCATCATATATTAAGTTCATACACTAAATTCAGATTGCTCATTTTGGATTATAACTTTTTTTTATTCACTCATGGGACGTTGGAGTCACTGACTGGGCCAGCATTTATTACCCATTCCTAGTTGCCCTTGAGAAGATGGTGATGAGCTGCCTTCTTGAACCGCTGCAGTCATGTGCTGTAGGTAGATCCACAATGCCCTTAGGGAGGGAGTTCCAGGATTTTGACCCAGCGACACTGAAGGGATGGCAAAGTCATGATGGTCAGTGTATTGGAGGGGAACTTGCAGACGGTGTCTGCTACGCTTATCCTTCTAGATGGTAGCAGTCATTGAAAGGTGCTGTTGAAGAGGCTTCAGTGAATTTCTGCGGGGCATCTTGTAAATAGTACTCACGGCTGCTACTGAGCGTCGGTGGTGGACGGAGTGGACGCTTGTGGATGTAGTGCCAATCAAGTGGGCTGCTTTGTCCTGGATGGTGTCAAACTACTTGAGTGTTGTTGGGGCTGCACTCATCCAGGCAAGTGGGGAGTATTCCATCAGACTCCTGTCTTAACAAACAAACCAGAAAGATAGCCCCTCCAACAATGTAGGACTGCTTTACTGCTGGACAGGAGTGTGAGCTGAGGCCATGAGCTGAAGCTCTGAAGTTGAGTTTGTTCAACAGCCCTTTCTTAAATCAGTCACCTTGAAGCAGGAGGGTAAACAGCTTTGCGCGGGTGATGAGAGTAGTAACAGCTTTGTTTGTTGAAATGTGTACTTTAATTTGCTGAATATAGGAAGAGCTGAAGTGGATACAGAGGAGCTTTCCTCGATGGTGGCGAAAGGCCTTCGTGAACACTTCCAGATCAGTGAGGAGCACTTTATGCTGTTCCTCATCGGTAAAGACGGCACCATCAACTCCTGGTACCTGACACCCGTCTGGTCGCTAGCGACCATTTATGAACTGGTGGACTCCATGCAGCTGAGGCAAGAGGAGATGCAGCTTCAAGAAACACTGGGAATCTCCTGCCAGGAGGATGACTACTCCCCCAGTTATCGTGGATACCCTGAGCATGGATAGCGTAACCGTAATAGGAAATACTTCTCATGTAAGACTTTGATTGCAATTACAAATCACCAGTGATATGAACTTTGTTTTAAATATATAGTCAATTTATATCAGCAATATGCATTGGACAGTTTACAATGTCAATGTTATTACATGGTACTGCACTTTGTACTTGTTAGGGTGGTTGTGCTGCAATAACCAATACAGTAGCTCCCCTAATGAGCTAAGTTGCCTTTTTGGTGCTTAATATTTTTCTTTCAGCAACCTTTAAAGACATAAGACGTAAGACTTGCTCCCATATTTGCAGAGATGCCTGCATCACCCTGCCTCACTGGACCAGGCATAAATAAAAGCAGGATGGTAATAGGTGATTACTTCTCAGCTCTGTTACCAATATCTATCTTGTCTATATACTCTACTGGTACTAGCAATAATTATTGCTGTTCCAAACTTTCTTCTCAGTTCCAAATACCCCATTTGGTGGGAAGGCAGTGGTGGAGCAGCAACGTCACTGGGCTAGTTATTGAGAACCCTAGGCTAATGGGGAAATGGGTTTGAATCCCATCATGCCAGATGGTAAAATTTGAATTCAATAAAACTCTAGAATTAAAAGCTAATCTAATGGTGACCATGTAACTACTGTCAATTGTTGTAAAGTCTGATCTGGTTCAAAACTGTGTTCAGGGAAGGGAACCTGTCATTCTTACCCTGATCTGAAACACATATGACTCCCGACCCCTAGTAATGTGGATGACTGCAGGGTAGGCAATAAATGCTGGCCTAGCCAGTGAAGCCTACATCCCACAAGTGAATAAAAAATAATCCTACAAATTCTCCCTCCTTCCTGTACTGAAAGCATATCTTTCCTAATGTTCAAAACTGGAGCACGTTTGTATTGGAATAGGAGTAGACAATTTGAGGAGAGGCAATGGCCTAGTGGCATTATCGCTGGACTGTTAATCCAGAGACCCAGGTAATGTTCTGTGGACCTGGGTTTGAATCCTACCACAGCAGATGGTGGAATTTGAATTCAATAAATATATGGAATTAAGAGTCTAATGATGACCATGAACCCATTGCTGATTGTCAGAAAAACCCATCTGGTTCACTAATGTCCTTTAGGGAAGGAAACTGCCATCGTTAACTGGTCTGACCTACATGTGACTCCAGACCCACAGCAATGTGGTTGACTCTGAACTGCCTGCTGGGCAATAAATGCTGGCCTAGCCAATAACACCCTCACCCTATGAATGAATTTTTAAAAATTCTCATAAGCCTGATCTGCCGTTTAGTTAGATTGTGACTGGTCTGTACCTCAACTCCATTTATCCAGCTTTGTCCTACATCCCTTGATAATCTTATCTAAGAAAACTCAGTCTTAAAGATTTCACTTGACCCCTAACATTAACAGCTTTTTGGGTGATCAGAATTTCTGACTCCCCCTGCGATATGCTTCCTGAATCTATTCTCAAAGGTTGGCTGTGAGGGGATCAGGGCCTAGAGCTAAATATCCAAAGATACATGTCCTATTGAAAGGACAGGCAGATGGGCAGGGGGACAGATTGCCTTCCAGTAAGAAATGAAATGAAATTAAAAGCAAGATGTGATATAGAGTCAAAATGCATAGAATATGTGTTGGTAGAGTTGAGGAACCACGGGGGAAAAAAGACCCTGATTGTATACAGGCCTCCTAGCAGTAGTCAGCAGGTGGGGAAAAAAAAACTTAGGAAACAGAAAAGGCATGTAAGAAAGGCATGATACAATAATCATGAGGGGACTTCAATATGCGGGTGGACTGGAAAAATCAGATTGGTAGCGGATCTCAAGGAAAGGAATACGTGGTATGTCTGTGGGATGGTTTTTTTGGACCAGCTTGCAGTAGAGCCCAGGAGGCAGTTCTGGATTTGGTGATGTGTAATGAGGCAGACTTGATCAGGGAGCTGAAGGTGAAGGAATCCCTCAGAGACAGTGACCATAATATGATCGAATTCATTTTGCACTTTGAGAGGGAGAAGCTGGAATCAGATGTCATGGAATTACATTTGAATAAAGGTGGATAAATCTCCGGAACCTGATCTAATGTATCCCAGAACATTGTGGGAAGTAAGGGAGGAAATTGTGAGACACCTTGCAGAAATATTTGCATCATCTATAACTATGGGCGAGGTGCCTGATGACTAGAGGCTGGCTGATGTTGTACCTTTACTTAAGAAAGATTGTTAGGAGACACTGGGGAACTATAGACCTATGAGCCTGACTTCAGTTATGGGTAAATTGTTGGAGGTGATTATAGAAGATAAGATTTATGGACATTTAAGAGGCAAAAATTGATTGGGGGTAGTCAGCATGGTTTTGTGTGATGAAAATCATGATTCACAAACTTGGTTGAATTTTTTGAGGAAGTTACCAAAAAGATTGATGAGGGCAGAGCAGTAGACGTTGTTTATTTGGATTTTAGTAAAGCCTTTGACGAAGTTCTGAATGGTAGATTAATTAGTAAAATTAAGTCACATGGGATTGAGGGTGAGCTTGCCAATTGGATACATAATTGGCTTAATGGCAGAAGATAGAGAATGGCGGAGGGTTGCTTTTTGGATTAGAGACTGACAGCAGAGGTGTTCCACATGGCTTAGTTCTGGGTCCTCTTTTGTTTGTCATTTATATAAGTTATTCAGATGAGAGTATAGAAGGCATGGTTAGTAAATTTGCAGACGACACCAAAGTTGGTGGCATTGTAAACAGTGAAGAAGGTTTTCTAAGATTTCGAAGGGATCTTGATCAAATGGGTCAATGGGCTGAAAAATGGCAGATGGAGTTCAATCTGGATAAATGTGAGGTGTTGCATTTTGGTGCAACAAACAAGGATAGGGTTTATATAATTAATGGTAGGGCCTTGGGTAGTGTTATTGAACAGAAGGACCTGGGGTGCAGGTACATGATTCTTTGAAGTTTGCGTCACATATAGACAGGGTGGTTAAAAAGGCATTTGGCATGCTTGTCTTCATTGCTCAATGCTTTAAGGATAGGAGTTGGGAAGTCATGTTGGAACCTCATGTGAGGTCTTTTCTGAAATACTGTGTTCAGTTCTGGTTGTCCAGTTTTAGGAAGGGTATTATTAAGATGGAGAGGGTTCAGAAGAGATTTACCAGGTATGGAAGGTTTGAGTTATAAGGAAAGGCTGGATAGGCTGGGACTTGTTTCACTGGAATGTAGAAGGTTGAGCGGTGACCTTAAAGAAGTTTACAAAATAATGAGGGGTATAGATAGATGTCTTTTTCCTTGAATGGGGGATTTCAAGACTAGGGGCACATTTTTAAGGTGAGAGGAGAGAGATTTTAAAAAAGAGATGAAGGGCAAATTTTTTACATAAAGGGTAGTTCACATGTGGAATGAATGTTCTGAGGAGGAAGTTCATGATGTGGGTATAATTACAATGTTTAAAAATCAGAGTTAACGTTTCTGCTCTGGTAAGCCTTCCTCAGAACTGGACTCGAAACGTTAACTCTGATTTTTTCTTCACAGAGGCTGCCAGACCTGCTGAGCATTTCCAGCAACTTCTGTTTTTGTTCCTGATTTACAGCATCCGCAGTTCTTTCAGTCTAAGTTGCTCCATGGTGTCCAGGGATGTGAAGGCTAGCTGGATTAGTCATGGGAAATGGAGGGTTACAGAAATGGGGTAGGAGATGGGTCTGGATGGGATGCTCTTCAGAGAGTTGGTGTGGACTTGCTGGGCCACATGGCCTGCTTAAAAGCAAATGTGGTAAAGATTAGTGGAATGCCAAAGGATTGGGAAGCCTTTGAAAACCTGCAGAGGATAAATGAAAAAAGCATATAAGGGGAGAGAAGATGAAATACAAAAGTAAGCTAGCTAGTAATGTAAAAGAAGATTATAGATAGTATAAAAGGTTCGAGAGAGGCAAGTGCAGACATTGGACTGTTGGAAAATGAGGCTAGACAAGTAGTGATGGGGGACAAAATAATGGCAGAGGAATTGAATAGGTCCATTAGATCAGTTTTCATAGTGGAAGACACCAGCAGCATACCAGAACTTCAAGAGAGTTGTTGGGAGAGGTGAGTGTAGTGGCCATCACTCAGGAGAAGGTGCTGGGGAAGCTGACCGGTCTGAAGGTGGATAAATCACCTGGACCGGATGACCACACCCCAGCGTTCGGAAGAAGATAGCTAAGGAGATTATAGAAGCATTGATGGTGATCTTTCAGGCATCACTGGAGTCAGGGAGGGCGCCAGGAGACTGGAAAATGGCAAATGTAACACCCCTGTTTAAGAAGGGAAGGAGGCAGAAAACAGGAAACTGTAGGCCAGTTAGCCTGACCTCAGTCATGGGTAAGATTTTAGATTCCGTCGTTAAGTATGAAATTGCAGAGTACTTGGAAGTGCATGGTAAAATAGGGCAGAGTCAGCACAGCTTCATCAATGGGATGTCATGCCTGACAAATCTGTTAGAATTCTTTGAGGAGGTAATGAGCAAATTAGACAAAGGAGAGCTAGTGGACAAGATCTGTTTGGATTTTCAGAATGCTTTTGACAAGGTGCCACACAGGAGGCTGCTAAATAAGATTAGTGCCCATGGTGTTAGGGGCAAGGTACTGGCTTGTATAGAGGAGTGGCTGACTGGCAGAAGGGAGAGAGTAGGGATAGAGGAGTCTTTTTCAAGATGGTAGCCAGTGACTAGTGGAGTTCTGCAGGGCACCATGTTTGGACCACAACTATTCACATTATACTTTAATACCTGGACAAAGACAGTTTGGGCGGCATGGTGGCTCAGTGGTTAGCACTGCTGCCTCACAGCGCCAGGGACCCGGGTTTGATTCCAGCATCGGGCGACTGTCTGTGTGGAGTTTGCACATTCTCCCCGTGTCTGCGGTGGATTTCCTCTGGGTGCTCCGGTTTCCTCCCCACAGTCCAAAGATGGGCAGGGTAGGTGGATTGGCTACGCTAAATTGCCCGTAGTGCCCAGGGATGTTTAGGTTAGGTGGGTTAGACATGGGAAATGCAGGGGCAGGGGAATGGTTCTGGGTG